TTTGAAAAATCCGAACCAACCCGATCATGTACACCCCTAGTGATGATATATAACTTAAATTATGTGTATGTTCGTTGGTGTGAGGAAATAATTGTAGGTAGTTGGTAAAATGGTGGTTTATTTTCGGAAAGTTGAGTGTGATTAAATTTGGATTTGCTTCAAAAAGTTCTACTGAAAAGTTAAACGCTCCCTTAAAAAGACGATTTAATATCTAGAGCTTGAATCTCAAATATTTGATTAAAAGTAAAGAAATATTTACCATTCCACGTATCATTGTATAAATAAGTTGTATATATTATTATTAGTTCATTGGCAGCTAGCTGAGAAATGTTAAAGAAAATGAAAGGAATTAAAGGCATCTTTGCACATGCCTCTAAATTTTTAACATTCCTTAAACAAATGCCAAACATTTTTCCTTGTGTTGTTCTTACATGAAACGACTTACATTGTAGTTGCTCGTTTAGTTGGGAAATAAGTTATCTTTAAATTAATTAATTCTAATATCAATGTGAAATAAAAATAATACTACAATTTACGAAATAATTAGTTTCGAAATAAATTATTTCACAATTTTATTCCAATTATTAAATATAAAATAAACTAATTCTAAGATTATTTTCGTTCCGATAAACAAACCCTAATGTTAAAGGGGGTATAAAGCATCTTCGTACATGCCCAACCACCACCGCAGAATAAAAGAGCAGCTTATGTTGGTCTTTTAAGGAGTAATAAATCATAAAAAAACACATTTGATAATATAAAATTGTCAATTATCCAAAGTTCTACCGTAGATTAAGTTCTTTCTCAGTTTCTTTTTAGTTGTCATAGTTTCTTTTTTAGAGTCAAATGATATGAACTTTAACTAACATTTCAAGATATAATTTTTCATCATATTGATATGAAAAAAAATTGCATTTTGTAGTACTTTTCATATAGCTTTTGAATATCTAATATTTTATTTTAAAATATGGAATTAATGTAATGTAGTTTAGATTTGAAACTTAGAGCGCGTTTGGATTGCCTTAAAAAATAGTTTTTAAGTCAAAAATAAAAAGTCAAACTTAATGACTTTTAAATCAAAAAATAAAAAGTAGGGGGAGACCCACTTTTGATTTTTAAGTCATTTTAAACTTATTTCAAGTTATTTTTAACCTTGTCAAACACTTCCTAACTTATTTTAAATTACTTTTACATTTGTCAAACACTTCTCGAAGTCAAAAACTGACTTAGAAGTAAATTTGACCAACTTTTAAGTCAACCCAAATACCTCTTAGTGAAATTGACTTTTAAAAAACGCAACCTAACAACTAAAAAGAAACATAAAGTGTATGTATATAATTTAATTTATTTTGCACTTTCCGCTATATATATCTGCCCCTTCCTACCCTTGAAACCCATACTTACTCATCCAACACTTCCAAACATTACAAAAAAAAAAAAAAAAAACTTAACAAAAATGTCATCCTGCAGCAAAATCCGCCATATTGTTAAGCTCCGCCAAATGCTGCAACGTTGGAGGAAGAAGGCCGCTACAACATCGTCCCGTAGGCACGTCCCGAGCGACGTGCCTACGGGTCACGTAGCGGTCACAGTAGGCCCCAATTGCAAGAGATTTATCGTCCGTGCCACTTATTTAAACCATCCAATGTTCAAAAAATTGTTGTCACAAACAGAGGAAGAGTACGGTTTTACTAACTCTGGCCCATTAGCCATTCCTTGTGACGAATATTTATTCGAAGAGTTGCTTCGTTACTTGGCTCGATTCGACTATGCTAACAACAACAATAATATCATGAAATATTTCGAAGATTTTCAAAGATATTGTCACATGGATATTCGAAGTGATATTGATTTTTGGGGCGATTCTAGACCACTTTTGCATAATAAATCTATATGGTAAATCCAAGATTTTAAGTCGATGAATACAGAAAGTCGGGGAAATGTGATTGGAGATGGCAAGAAAGTGGATGAGTTGATTAGCTCACACAGAGTCGTCCTATATTTTGAATTAAGAGTGAAATTCAAGAACAAAGAAACAAGTACTACAAAACACACAGAGAATTTGCAATGTTGCTCATTTATTTTGTACTAGTATTTTTTTTAATGATATATTATATGGAAAAATTGTAGAGAAATTAATTAGAAGTATTTACAATCTTCTATACATCATAACTATACATGGATTTTGAATAAAATATGATATGATAATTTTTATTTTTTTTATAGTGAATGAATAATTGAGTAGTAGCGTGCTCAATGTTGTTTAAGTCACGCTCAGTGTTGTGTGGTACTAAAGTCTGAGAAAGGTAGAAGACTTATACAAATATTATGACCTTCGCTTGCACGTAAAAAATTGTGAAAATGATGTTATTTTTAGACTATAAAACCTTCTTCATATTTGCGTCCTTCGTTTATCATTTCTTGTAGATTTGCTCCCGATCTCCATATATGTATAATAGTTGTTTTGGTAATTTTTTACCGGACAACAAATATTTACCATCTCCAATAATAGTCCTAAAAGGATGATCATTTTATAATAAGCTTGATAGTAAGTAGGCAGTTTCATTTAGTTTTTTATTTCGATTTTATTGAATATGTAATATGATAAGCTTGATAGTAAGTAGGCAGTTTCAACTTTTTATTTTTATTTTTTTTGGTTTTCCATCCGGTGTCCGGAGCCCATATTGGAGCTTCGATTAAATTCGAATCGCGCTCTGCAGGGCCATTCGAGGGTGACGCTCCCAACATGATTTCCTCCATACCCAGGGATTGAATCCGAGACCTCTGGTTAAGGGTGAAACACTCCTACCAGTGCACCACAACTCATGTTGGTAATTCACGCAATGACTTGACATTCATAACATCAATCTTAATCTATGAAATAGAACTTGCATTTGAATAAAACTTTATTATATATGTGATCAATCGTATATAAAATTAATTCAAACTTGTTAGCTAATGGAGTTGGGTGAAGCAAAAGGAAATTAGGGACGAATAAAAATGGGGAATTGGGGAGGGGTAGGTGATGATTGGAATTTAATGATGAAATTAGCTTCATATAATTAACTCATACTAATATTTTTGGGGAAAAAGAAGAATAATGAAGCTGGCACACAGCTCACATTTTTGGAACTTTTGACTTTAATTAAATTAATCCTTAAATTTAATGTACTAATTTAAAGATATAATGTACTACTATCTGGCATTGACCCCTTGAATTTTTGATGTTTATGAAAACTTTTTAAAAGGTTTCTTTCTACTTAAAAAAAAAAACTATCCAATTCAAGTTTGATTAGTTTATAATAACATATTCAGTGTAAATCATAAACTGGCTTCAGAAAAGTGATGTGTACATGATATTACTTTTATCTTGAAAAGGTAGAGATATTATTACTGATAGACTCTCAATTCAAATAAAACATATCAAAATAATATAAAAAAATCGGTCTTGTAATACAATTAATTTAAGTCTTTTAAAAAAAATTAAAACTATTATATAAAAAGTACTATAAGTCATATAATAATTTAAGAATTATATACGTTAAGACAACAATAGTAAATCATCCAAGGATATAGCTTAGAGTAAAGTGAGTTGAGAATTATAAGGCCTCAAGTTCAAATCCTATCGTTAGAGACATAAATATTAGGTGATTTCTTCTTAGTTGTCCTCGCCTTGATATACACGATTATCTAATAGTTAGTGAAAGATGACAAGTATCTTGTAAAATTAATCAAAATATGCATAAATTGATTTGAACAACAACTGTGTCACGTGAAAAGAAATTGAGGAGTAATATATCTGATTTAGCTCTAAAAGATTGAATAGATTTTACTAGCATAAATTGTTAAAGAAATTCTACAAATGTTATGTCCTCAAATCTCAATATTATTTGACACAAATCACGTAAAGGACTATGCTAGTTAAGGCCCAATTTTTGGTTGTCTAATAGGAGTAACAAATAAGACATGATTTGGGCTTCTAAGCCACTTTGGGAGGAATGGAATAAATAGCCACTTTTGACATTCATTATCAAATAAAAATAAATATTAGCATTATTTTAAAAAGATACTAACATTTAGTGATTTTTTTGACATGAAAGTTTTTTGGGGTAAAAAATATAACAAATTGTGCTGGAATTCAAAGGTTTGACAAATAAAACCCAACAATTCATGGGGTTTAAATATTTGTTGGAGTTTCAAAAATTGAGAAATAATCAATTTTTTTTTATAAATTCATAACCAAGAAATAATACACAAGTTCAAACATTTGTTGGAGCTCCAAAATTAAGAACTGATTCATGGGATTCAAACATTTGTTGGAGTTCCAAAACTAAAAATCAATAGCTTGGTTCAAAATTTTATAAGTTGAAAACGAAGGAACAATTGATGAAGTTTAAGAATTTACTAGAGTTGCAAGATTAAAAAACGATTCGTGGATCAGAATTCAAGAATTTCATTGAGTTTCAAAACTATGGAACAATTCATTGGGTTCAATAATTTGTTGAAATTAAGAGTGGAATAAATATTCTTTGGGTAATGCTAAATGGTTAGAAATTTAAAAAAATTATAATATCTTTTTCATTTTAAAATAAACTAATCTTTTTTCCATTTTTAATTAAAAGATATTAAAGTTAAAAGGATAAAAATGTTCAAAAAGGTAAAAATAACATAGGTAAAATATCATTCTGGCCAAAAGGATATTTCCATATTCTTTTTATTTCAATTTTGTTTATCTGATTTTGATCAGATACCATATGAAGTTCAAATTATTTTTTTTGAATTTTAAAAGTCAAAATTAAAGAATAAAAAAAAATTGCAAAAATTTAATGAAGGATCTTTCTTAGATTTTGTATTGTCCCTTTTTTTCTTCTTTTATTTTTTTGGCGATGTGGATATAATCAAAGGGTATTATCGTCCTTTCACATTCATTCTGTGCCCTAGCCTCTTTACTCTTATAATCGGAGCCCGCCTTGTTAGTTCTTATAGCATATTCTCTGTTCAACCGTTTCTCTTTCAGTAGCAAATCTTCGTTAAACGCTGGTTAGTTAGGGTTTTTCGATTGACAGTTGCTCGAAAGCTCAATTACAATGGGAGTTCCAGCATTTTACCGATGGTTAGCTGAGAAGTATTCAATGGTTATAGTTGATATAATTGAAGAAGAAGCGCCTGTTATTGAAGGAATTAAATTTCCACTTGATACGAGTAAACCTAATCCAAACAATATAGAATATGATAACTTGTATTTGGATATGAATGGTATTGTTCATCCATGTTTTCACCCTGAAGATCGAGTAAGCACTTAAATCCTATCCCTTTCAGTTTTAGTTAATTTTATTTCTGTATGATTATCGCTTGCTGAGTTATTTTCATTCAAATTTGACTGTGTCTGTGTTTTATTTTTGAATTGGCGAGTTGTTGTGAATTGAGTATGAATTTGTGTATGCCGAAGTTTACTAATCCAAACAACATTGTATATGATAACTTGTGTTTGGATATGAATGGTATTATTGGATTGAGTACGCATTTCAATACTCTTTCTTTGAATTTTAGTTAATTTTAGTCCTGTATGATTATTGGTTGCTGAGTTGTGTGTGTGTTTAAGTGATTTTTCTTTTAAATTTTGACTGTGTATCTGTGTTTTATTTTTGAATTGGAGGTGGTTTTTATATGAATTGAGTATGAATTTGTGTGTGTTGGAATGTAGTAATCCAAACAACCTTGAATATGGTAACTTGTATTTGGATATGAATGGTATTATTTGATTGCGTACGCATTCCAGTCCTCTACCTTTCAATTTTAGTTAATTCTAGTCCTCTATGATTGGTTGCTGAGTTATGTTAGTGTTTTAAATGAATTTTCGTTGGAATTTGACTGCGTGTTGTGTTGTATTTTTGAATTGGTGGTGGTTCATATATAAATTGAGCATGAATTTGTGTATGTTGAAATGTACTTTTCAAGCTTTCCATTTATGTTGCACACATTCCATTTCGTTTCTATACTACTTTCACAAGTTACAACCTACAAGAATTCTAGTTAAACTATTGATTTTATGCTTTGATAGATTTTACTAGCTTTTCAACCCGTAATTTAGTTTTTTTTCTTTCAAATGTCAATGATTTGGCTCACAGTCAAATTAACATCTTAGATTACTTATTTAGTCTAATGTTTTGTTTTTTAAAAATTTTCTTGGGTAAAATGTTTTCTAATGATTATTGTGACGTTTCTTTAATATAATCCCCTTTTTGCAGATTATATCCTAGTAAACAATTATTGTACTCTTTTTATTGTCGTTGCTTTGATGTTAATATGCTACAAGTCATGAATTTGTCTTTGCACGATAGAAATTTTAGCTACACTCGTAAACTTAGGCTGTATTTGAGCAAAAACTTTTGGTCAATATAGTACCCCATACATGTCCGAAAGCATCTTGGAGAGGTTGGAATAGAATAGCTCATCAAGCTAGTCAATACTACTCTAAGAAGTGGTACGATTCTCGACGAATGGAGAAAGAGAAAATAATTCCAATTTATAGTAACGAAGGAGATAGCCAAAGTTATGCAAACTAGCGCGTCATTGAACTCATGAGGCATACAATGAAACTCTGAGAAAGAGTGATAGAGTGTAGCTTTACGAATACAACAAGAGTGACAGAGAACTAATTTGGATTTATGTTCGATCGTTCTACAAAGGAGGAGATATTCTTACTAAGAAGATTGGTAGTAATTTATTGCATAAGGAAGAAAGATTTATATATGGTAAGTAATTGAAAGCATATGATAAGAGTACTCACAGAAGATCCTTTGGTGAGTGAATGGGAATGAGGAATTAATATCAAATAAATAAATGCCAAAAGATATGTATAAAGGAGCTGTCACTAGCGTGGGAAAGGTAGTAGGAGATACACATGAGTTCCCCATAACAATGGATCTATACTAAGGATCAACATTGAGGTCTTACTTGTTTACCTTAGCTATGGATGAGCTAACTAAACACAATACTTGATTCCCAAGTTGTATATTATTTTTTTTGACTGTATTGAGTTAATTGGCGAAACAAATGAAGATGTCAACTATGCACTTGAACTATGGAGAAACACTTTAGAGAGAAGGAGTTCTAGATAAGTAGAAGTATGCCTAAATACATTTATGCAAGTTTCGTCAACATGTAAAGAGTGAAGTTGAGGTGAGACAAGACGAAATTGTGGTGCCAAAGTGCTAACAATTTAGATATCTAAGGTCATTGTTTCAAAAGAATAAGATGATAGATGAAAACGTTATTTATAGAATTATATTGGACGACCCTTCGGGGTGACTCAGTGGTTTGGGCTTGGGACTTCCATGTAGGAGGTCTCAAGTTTGAAACCTCTTGCTAACGATAACAAGGGGTTTGCCTTCTTGGTCGAGTTCGTCGCACCAGGTAACACCAGGCTTGCCTGGTGCAGGTTACCTTTCCGGTGTGGTTTGCGAGCTATTGCATAGGAGCAAGGGTTTTATCCTGTGCGCACTCAAAGGGTAGTGACTGCGGGTTTCCCTTGTCATAAAAAAAAGAATTATATTGGACGATTAAAGATTTGTAGTGGAGAAGTGCTATTTGGTATTACGTCATAGAAGAATGCCTACCAAAGTGAAATGTACATTCTACAAAACAATAATAAGTTTGACAATATTATATGACAATGAATGTTGGGCCGCTAAAGTCCAACATATCCACCAAATGAGTATTGTAGAATTGTGGATGCCAGAATGGATGTGGAGTCATACATGATTAGATAAGATTAAATATGACCACATTTGCTGGAAGGAGCATTTAGCATGCATCAAGGATAAAATGATAGAAAGTCACTTAAGATGACTTGGGCATGTTCTGGTTTGACCTACAAATGCATCGCCTGTAGGTGTTAAAACTATTGTGAGTGAAGGTGTTAAAAAGGTTCAAGGTAGACTTAAAATCACATTAAAGGAAGTTGTATTGAAAACTCTACTATTTTTGGGATCAACACAAATTTACTCAAAAATGGAACTCTATAAAAGAAAAAGATACATACGAGTGATATTTACTTATTGGGAATAAGATTTAGTCTTGTCAGAGAACTACTAATATTGTTATTGTTTTTTTTTTAAATTGGTAACATTGTATTCTTCAGCATTAATGGCTATGCTGGCCACCTCCAAAAGTGTTAGTTACATAGAAAAACCAACAAAAAAAACAGGACTACTTACAAAGCTCCTATGAAATCCACTAGTTGAATTTCTTCTTCTATGTTCATTTCTTTACCCCCAAAAACCTAAAGTGGTAATTACTTTCCACTTAATCTTCTCTATAGTGCTTTCTTTCTCTACAAAAATTCTCTGATTTCTCTCCTTCCAAATGATCCACCAGATACAAGCAGGTACTGTTCTCCACCACCCACCACCTCCTCTGGCTCTTACTACCTCCCCTTCTGACCCAACAACTTAGTAGGTCTGCTGTATGTTCTGGCATAATCCAATTTAGGCTCTTTATATTGGTGAATAGAGCCCACACTTGTGTTGTTACTTTGCCGAGGAGAAACAAATGATTGTTGGTTTCTAGAGCCTCTTTACAAAGATAACATCTTGAGGCAATAATTTTTCCCCTCTTTTGAAGTTTATCATGTGTCAGGCAAGCTCTCCTAGCTACCAACCAAGTGAAATACTATGAGGTATTTAACTTATTTTTCACTTTTATTTTATTTAATATGATGATGACATGTGTCGAGCTTAAATGGAGAAGTAAAGATTTATTTAACAGAACCAAACTTGTTTAGGACTAAGGCGGAGGTGTTGGTGTTGCAAGTCATGAATCTCTGGCAATATCGAGAGTGTGGCCTAGTGGTCAAAGAAGTGATGGAACTATGAGGTCTCAAGTTCAATTTCCAAGAGAGACAAAAAATACTAGATAATTTCTTCCTATATGTCCAAGCCTTGGTAGACATAGTACCCGTAGAATTAATCAAGGTGCGTGCAAGTTGGATCGGATACCACAGTTATAAAAAAAAGTCATGAATCTCTGGCTTCTTTGTTCTATATTATTGCTGAATCCTGCTGGGCATTCAGAACTTCTGTGTCCTGGCAATTTATAGTTAACTAGTTTCACTGCTGGTGCTTTTGTAATGTTTAGGAAGAAGTCACAGGTGATGCATGCCTTTTTATATGCTTATGGCTACTTCGATGCGTGATTTCATGTAATCACTGTTGACAACTCTCTAAAACATGAGCAATTTTATGGTCAAGTTGTAAGAAAAATCAGGTAGTGTTGAGATTTATTATTAAACGACATAAAAATAGTTTTTGAAATTAAATGACATTAAAATCTGATTCTTGTCACGACCCAAGGTAGACCCTAGGTGTAACATGGCGTATAGGACCCCGAGAGGCCCCATACAAGTCACTTAGCATACATAGACAAGATAATATAAATTAGGAGATTTAAAGGATCATTTCAAAGCATAAAGTTTTATAAAACGAAGCGGAATCTAACAATGTCTCAAAGCCATTTAGTACATATGAAGAAATTGGGACGTAACCCGTACATCAAGTTCAAAACTGAAATGAAATGACATAATGAAATAAAGGCTTGGTCCTCAGAACATGAGGACTCACCAATCTTCAATCTTCTACTAATAGATCCCTAGCCACGGAAGTGCGAGTATGGAGTGTTGGATCCTACATTTGGGTAAGAAATGTAGGCAAGAGTATGCGTTAGTACAAATATGTATCAAGTATGATAGCGATGCATGAAGTGTAAAAATTATGATAAAGGGACATTTTCGTAATATGCAATGACCAAGCTAAAACATGATATAAAAGAGTTGGAAAACTATAAATCACAAAACATGGTCAATGCAAGTAGACATCACCTTAAATCACATGTGAGATACTTCTTAAAGTAACCCTGATTCATTAATGTGGGAGAATTACCTTTAACCGACATGTAAAATCATGTGAGCTATCAACATGGAATCCGGTGTCTACCCCACACCGAAAAGAGGTGTCCTAGTTGCCAAGGTATGACCATGAACTTCTAGCTTACATGGATCCACTAACTAATGTCTATTTAGACAATTAGTTTAGGGACATGGGTAATTGCCACTTGTCCACTCGGTGCTAAGCATAACTCCCACGGAATATTCGTTATTCTTAACTTTTCTTAACAATCATGAGACATGAGTAATCACCACTTGTCTTAGTATTGGAGGTCATGGGTAATCGCCGTTTGCTTGTTATTAGAATAGCTCCGTATCTTTGATTCATTTTAGGTGAGAAGACCTTTGAACCTTAGAATCCTTTATGTGAGAAAACCTTTCACATTCATGCTTTCATGTGTATATGAGAAATTCTTTCACAACACAACAATAATCATATTGATACTTCACTCTCAAAGCATCCTTAAAACATTTTCATCAATTTCATAAGAACATGCATATATTCATGAAATCCTCTTTCATAGTTCAAAACCCACTTTCAATCATCATAGTCTAAAAAATATGGGATAAGCATGGGTTCATGGGGATTCATTGTAAAATCATGGATTATATCAATTCATGCATAATACTTCATAAAACAATCAATTATATCAATATTGAAAGGAACCCATGACATAGAAGAAAACCCTAAGTCAATTGGGAATTTCTAACTTTATAAATTGGAGAATTTAGGAACTCCATGGAGGAAATTGCTCCAATGATGAAGACTATCATAACTCAATGCCAAAAGCTTGCCTTCAATGGTGGAATTGGAGACTTGACTTAGAAACCCTATGTTGATTCCTTCTTCAAGCTTTCTAGAGAGAAATATTTTGGGAGAGGAAGACTTGTTCTTCTTTTAGGAATTTGAGAGAATGATTTCAATTGGGGAAATTTGGGGGTAAAAACACTTCTTTCTGGGTTTGTTAAAAATTCTGTGTAAGAGCCCCTTATTGTTGGGTCAGATACTTAGAGTTAAGCAAGATGTTAATCTTGGTGAGGTGAAGTTTGGTTATACATAAAAGAATCAATTAGGTGTTGCAAGAAGTGTGCTTATGTATTGATCAATATTTCCGGAACGTGATCTTTAGGAAGAAAGTGCATAGAATTGAGATACTCAGTGCATCCTTCCATTTATGTATCCTATATGTTAAATTTCAATGCCGCTAAAACTTGTTATTTTTGGAGTAAGACCCATAGAAAAAGAAAAAAAAGTTGATCTAGCTAGAGGATGTGACAAACACAATCTTGTGGACCTCTTGCCTTTAAAGGATAGTAGAATTTTGGATAAATAATGTTTAATAAATTTTGCCCCTAAGTCCTAGCTTGAGTGGCAAAAGGTGGAGGATTTGTGGCTTAGGTCGTAGGTTCATGCCCCACACCATGCAAAGCGAAGCCCGGTATTTAAGTGGAGAAGGTAGAGGGGCGGGCCCATTATCCATCGAGGTTAGAAGGCTGTGATTGGTCCAAAGGGCGGGTCACAGACGGATTTCTCGGTTATCAAAAAAAGAAGAAGATAAATGACATAGAAAATGAGTTATGAATCATTTTAGTTTTGTAATGCATTACACTCTGTTTGGATCATTGTTACCCATTGTTTCATAATGTATTGTATTGTATTGTATTGTACTCTATTGTACTGTATTGTATGGTAGATACAATGTTTGGCTAGACTGTATTGTTTGTTGTTGTTTAATAACATTTTAATTGTTTGGTTTGATTGTATCGTATTGTATTGTAATTTATAAATTTACTAAAATATCCTTAATTATTCTAGGGTAGGAGGTTTGACTAGAATTAAATAATATAAGGTAAAGGATAAAATAGTATTTTGAAATATTATGTAAAGATATAAGTGGAAAAAGAAATTAACAATCGGAACACACCAAATTGGTTGTTCCATAAAATAGGGGTTTTCATTGTTACGTAACAACGAAATTTAACAATACAATACGATACATTTTAAGTAACAATCAAAACAAACATTGTTGGTATAGTAACGATACAATACAATACAATACAATGGGTAACAATGATCCAAACAGAGTGTTAATGTCGCATGTGTTAGTTTTCTTTTGGTGGAAGTTTGTCCTCCTTTTACTTATTTTTAGTTGTAAAAAGTAATAAACTATCTGCTTATTTGGTTATGATTACTGTATTCCACTTCATTTCGTCACCCATAGTTAGGTTCCTTTAGTGCCTAGCTATTATTTGCTTTTTGGCTTCCCCTGGATGCATTATTTGAGCTGCAGGAATCTTTCCTGAATCCCTCTCTCTTTTCTGATATCGTAAGATTGGGATAGTTAGGACAAATTGTTAGAACATTATGCTCTTTTGTTGATGACCTATGTTTCTGTTGAATACATGTTTGAAAAGGATTCTACTTTCATGGTATATATTTGTTAGATATCTCAGTTATTTATACTATTTCTCTATTCTCTATAACATTACTTCCGATGCTTTCTAATGCAGCCTTCTCCAACCACATTCGATGAGGTTTTCCATTGCATGTTTGACTACATAGACAGGCTTTTCTCAATGGTGCGTCCTCGAAAGCTGCTATATATGGCTATTGGTGGGTGACAAGGTCAAATTGTCTTTCAATTATTGTATATTTTCTATATTTCAAAGAAAATGAGAGTATGGTCAGATGTATCTGGGAAAGGGGTGATTTGTTATTGCTTTGGAACTCAAAAGAAAACTTTGTATTCATCTTGTCAAATGAATGAGAAAAGTTGGAGTCATATCGAGGGGACTAAAACTGCATTTTACTTCCCTTCCGATACGTAATTATCAACTTCTAAAATCCTTAGAAATTCAAATTATATTTAATGTCTCCTTTACCCTCCTGTATTTTATTTTTAAATATGGGCCCTAGATTTTCTTTTCTAATCTCTTGATTCCCCATTGGACAATTTCCTGTACAAAACAAATTATATGTATAATAAGTCGATAGGTTTCTGAGCTAATTACTGACTGTGGATGTATTTGGTAGATGGTGTTGCACCAAGGGCAAAAATGAACCAGCAAAGATCTAGACGTTTTAGAGCAGCAAAAGATGCAGCAGATGCGGTACATGCCCTTTATATTCTTAATGGCGAGTAAGATTTTTTGCTAAAGTTCTATCTCATGGAATCCATTTTTTAGGCAGCCGAGGAGGAAAAGTTGCGTGAGGAATTTGAGAGGGAGGGTAGGAAGCTTCCTCCTAAACAGGCTTCCCAAATTTTTGATTCAAATGTAATAACTCCGGGAACCCAATTCATGGCTACTTTGTCGATCGCTCTTCAATACTATATTCATCTTAGACTAAACCATGATCCCGGATGGAAAAAAATTAAGGTACTGTTCCTGTAAAGTTCTTGGTCTTTCAATTTAAGATTATTTGGTTCTGTTTGGTAGTTTGGTTCAGTCACTTTCTTTTCTATACCTCTTTATGATACTAAAGAATTTTATGTGCTTATTTATTATTCAACTATTGTTTTGAAGGTTATACTTTCTGATGCAAATGTCCCTGGTGAAGGTGAGCATAAAATTATGTCCTATATCCGCCTACAACGGAATCTTTCTGGTTATGATCCAAATATGCGTCATTGTCTTTATGGTTTGGTACGTCTTACACTTTGAATTACTTGCAAATCTTTGGATGGGAATCTTCTTCCTGATTTCATGGATGTTGTTCCGGATAACTTACAATTATATTCTTTGGTGCACCACAGGATGCAGATCTAATTATGCTGGGTTTGGCTACTCATGAAGTTCACTTCTCCATACTCAGAGAGGTTAATGCTCAACCGTATTATATGGAGGGATATTTCTCATTACTAAGCGAATTTGTCGGTTCAAAATTTGCAAAATAAAGAAAAATTGGACCTTTTTGTTCGCAGAAAACCTTATTTTTAAGCCGGATTAAGAAAATACTCACTATTTCACCTTCTTTGTAAGGGAGATAACTTACTAGTAGCACTATATTTTCCTTAAATTCTATTATTGTTTAACTATTGGCTATTAGATACTATATTAGTTTATGATTTAAAATACTTGTTTGTTAAATACTACTACTAATAGTTAAGCATTTAAGGAAGGAAGTGGTGTTACAATTGGTATAACAACAACACACCTAGACAATGCTCAACTACCTATTAGCCTTCTACTTTAATTCGCGACCTCCATATCCTCTTATTTAAAAGGTCATGTCCTTGGTAAGCTGGAAATGTGCCATATCTTGTCTAATCACCTATCCCCAGTACTTTTTGAGCCTACCTCTACCTCTCCTTACACCCATAGTGCCTCACATCTCCTCACTGGGCCCTCTGCGCCTCTCCTCTACACATATCTGAACTGTTTTAGTCTTGCTTCTATCATATTATCCACCACAAAAACCACTCCTACCTTGTCCCGGACATCTTCATTCATAATTTTATCACTCCTCATAAGCCCACATGTCCGCATCAACGTACACTGATGTAGTTAAAACTTATATTTGTTTGCTATTTTGAAGTAGCAAATATTATTTTAATTTTCTGATTCCACAGGTTATTACTTTGTTTCAACCAATATTGTTTTTCCTAAAAATAATTTGCTGCAAATGTTGTATGTTTTTTAAATCTATAGTCATCGTTGGACATTGTTTTTATGAACTAATATTTATTTATGTAGTTTATATTTTGTTGACAGTAAAATTGGATAACAACAATGGATTTCATTATAAAACTAGATAAAATCCTCCTAATACTAACCATTTAATTTACTCATGTAAAAAAATCAGTAATTTGGATAATAATCTTTATATGGAATCAGCTTGAGCAAGGATAAAGATCAAAATATAATTAAATGAAAGGGATTTCAGACTTGTAATGAAATAGTTAGTTAGGAAAAGTAGGACATACTTGTCCCAAAAGATGTCACTAATCACTAGGACTTAAAAGGTGTATCAGACAATAATAATGATTTGGTACTTTAACCTTAAATATTTTGTAGTGATGGCGCTTTATTGCATTATTTTGAATATACTTTGTGAATATACTTCTATGCTTAATTTGCCTCTTGATTCTTGTTGAGTGCTTCTACCTTTAGGTCATATTTACTCCAGGCCAGCAGGACAAATGTTTCCTTTGTGGTCAAATGGGTCATTTAGCTGCAAATTGCAATGGAAAGGCAAAGCGAAAAGCAGGGGTTTTTGATGAGAAAGGAGATGCTGAGGCAGTGGCAAAGAAACCCTTCCAGGTAACATTTGAGATTTTATTTTTCAGTCCACCAAAAATATTTTGTCCCGATTGCTTGTGTTTTTCCCAATATAAGTTTTCAAAAAATTTCTTTCTCGATTTGGTGCATTGCAGTTCCTCAACATCTGGACTCTACGGGAGTATCTGGAATATGATTTGAGAATTCCCAATCCTCCCTTTGAGATTGATTTGGAGCGTATTGTTGATGACTTCATATTTATGTGCTTCTTCGTTGGCAATGATTTTCTACCACATATGCCCACACTTGAGATTCGCGAGGTGTGTGTTCAATAAGAATCCATTTATGTATTTGTTTTGATTGATGTTTTCTCCTAACTGAACTTCTCTACTAGTTATGTATTAAAATAAAACTGTTATATTACTTGACATGGTTTGACGGGTTTCATGATATTTAAAGATCAATGTTTCTTTGACTTCGAGAAGTTTGTATCTTAAGCTGTTGCCTGCTTTTGGTAGCCAATAATGAATTTTAAATGTAAAAAACTAATTTGGGGGAAAGACAAGGACTGATCTTATATGAGGGAAGAAGTACAAGTGCGGAACATTTTGTGGAAAAAATAAGAAATTCTGCAAAATGCATAGCTATACCTGAAGAATATACTGCCATAGTGCTCATAGCCCTTGAAAGTGAAAAGATGAAAACAGATGGAAGTTTGCTTTCGGTGAGATTTTTTTTTTTTAATTATTAGAGGAAGTTGTTTTTACTTTTTCAATTTCATGAAAAACTTGCAGAGAGACTTCTTGTTTTAAATGGTGTTGCACTAGATTCCATCTAGGAGATTAGAATAGCTTCAGTTTCCTAGAGTTTTTTTTGCTGTAAATATGGGATGAGTTCAACCTATGTTTACTGTTTGTGTTTTGATCAATATATAGAAATATACAAAGTTACCATTTCAAAAATAAATAAATGGCGTTGCATGCGTATGAGTGGGAAAAATAATGGTGCTTTTGCATTCTCCATCTAGTGAAGGTGTGTCTGATTGAGAGAGATTACCATGGAGTGGTATTATATGGAACTTCCAATTTTGCTAATGGCAAAGGTACATTAGCCCAATGATAAGTTATTGCGGGTGCAATGCTTGTTATGACAGGCAACCTAATGGCAAAGGTATATTAGCCCGATGATAAGGTATTGCGGGTGCTATGTTTGGTTATGTCAGGCGACCTGACAATTATACTTTCCTTCTTTCTAGTAGGAAACATATGAGTTCCATTGGATAATTGCTTTTGGAGATTTGCTTCTGAAGAAGGATTGCGCATGGTCATAGAAAGCAAAATGTGTGGTTTGAGGAAGTAAGTAGGTGTTTCCAAGGTAATCTCCACGTTGCTTGGTGTTTAGCTTACGAAAAAAATTCCAAGACACTATCTTCAAGGTGGACAATGGAGAAACAACAGATATTGGATGGATTGGTGGATGGTCACACTGGATGGTTTATAGAGATGTTTGATAGTTGGTTTTCTAATCTGGGATAAGCAACTGAACAAGATACTGTTTATACCAATTAGGATTATGTGTGGGATTTGAGATTTCAGAGAAATGCAATGGTTTGGTGATGGAAAGATTCAATTTCTGTTAAGAATGTTCAATGGGGACTGCCGATTTTACGAAACAATCCTGATGTTCTAATATGAAATTAAAGTGTCTAGGAAGTTGCTTGGTGCCTTGGTCAAGTCACTCTACAGAGCAAATGATAAAATGGGTGTTGCTTGCGGAACAATGTGGAAAATCGAATCACCCACAAGATTAATGTTTATCGCTGACATAGGAAGCTATCCTCGTTCAAGACTATTTACAGATACAAGGAATGAAAATATGTATATGATTATGTTTTGTAAAGACCAGAATGAGCTGGTCAATCATCTGTTGTTACGCTGCAAGGTGGTTACTGAAATATAGAGGTGTTCCTGCTGTTGTATTGGATGAATTCAATGGTCCTGAAATCAATGCTTGGACTTTTTGAAACACAGAGAAATTGTCTACTGGGCAGAACCATGGGAAACTTCTGGATTTTTTTTGGGAAACCCGCAGCCGCTACCCTTTGGGTGCGCACAGGGTAAAACCTCCGCTCCTATGCAATAACTCGCAAACAACATAGGAGAGGTAACCCACACTAGGCAAGCCCGGTGCGACAAGCTCGACCCAGAAGGCAAACCCCTTGCTTTCACTGGCAAGGGTTTCGAACTTGAGACCTCCAGCATGGGAACTTTTGGATTATTACACCTTGATGCAATATGTGAGTGTTTGGATGGAAATCAACATAATATATGTTTTAAGGTTTGGCGAGGTAGCTCACGATATAAAGCAGCAATACATAAAACTTTTGTTTCTTCTTTTTCTTGGTGTTATGATAGATTCATCAAGCCACATGGAGTTCTTGAGCTCCCTTTGTTTGTGATCCACTGTGAAGGGATATGGGATGCACTTAGTGACCCCGTCTTTTGACGAATTACAACATGCTTCAAAACAGTAGGATCATTGAGTTGTTTAGTTTTTTTGAAGATTGATCTCTGGATAACGTGTTTTTGGTATATGATTATTATGTTTATGAATGGATAAAAAAAATTTCACTGCAAGAAGCTCCAAAATTGTTATCCAAGTTTGTTTGACTTTTTTTTGTAGGATAATCATTAATGATCAAGATCTTTGTCCTTTTCCTTATCAGGGTGCGATAAACTTGTTGATGGCTGTTTATAAGAAGGAGTTTAGGTCTTTGGGAGGGTATCTGACTGATGCAAGCCAGGTAGTTGGTTACTCCATTGACAATGACTCCTTAATCTGTGTATTTGCCTGTCATAGCCTTCTACCTAGATATTCTTGTAATTTGTAGTTAACCTATTGATTTGCCTCTTTTACTTCTTTTTCAGCCAAACCTTGGCAGGGTAGAATCTTTTATTCAGGCGGTAGGATTATATGAAGATAAGATATTCCGAAAGAGATCTAAAATGCATCAGGTCTGCACTTGTCTGACCATTTACTGCCTTTTCACCTTCCTTTTGAAAAAAAATAAGAATAAAAAGGAAATTGTGGCTTTACTGATTGCTCTTTTTGGTGTCAAGTGACTTGTTTTTCTGATAATATAGATGAGTAGTATCTTAAATAAATATAGAAGGTTCCTATGAATGCCATGTCCATCACAAATGAAGAAGAAAACAGGGAAAAAAGAAGAATAGTGCTGGTGAATTTTATTGTCCTGTTTTTTGGGGTAAAAATCCAAGTAGCAGTTTTAGTGGCCGCAGTAATTAACTTTTAGTTGTATATCACTAAAATAGAGATGATAAAATCTGTTTATTTTTACTTATATTACTTGATTTTAATGCTATAAGTACACATCATCAATGTTCTAACATTTATTTTGCAGTTAACCATTCTATTTTAATTCACATTATTTTTAAACTGGCAAGTATTTCATTTATTCTTTCTTCTTTTTGATAAAGATCATTATTCAATCTTACTGTGCCTTTCACTGGGGGAAAAGTGCCTTTCTTGAATCTAGCTCAACACCATCTAGTGCTTGATTTCCTGCATAATGAATTTTCACTCTACTATTTTTATGGTGTATTCAGAAACAATCTGAAAGAAATGAGCGTAACAAGGCTCAGGCAAAAAGACAGGCAAAAAGACAGGCAAAAAGAGGAGACGACTTTGCACCTCAAGTTGCACCTGAATCTCTGGTTCCAGTTGCTCGATTCCATGGTTCTCGTCTCGCTTCAGGTCCTTCACCTTCCCCCTATCAACCGGGAGGAGCTTCAAAATCTTGTAGACCTGATCAGCTTGGGCAGACCAGCTCTAGTCTTTCCATCCTTGACATTAAGACCGAACAGTCTGACACTTCTGATGATAAACAGACTGCCCGTTCCCGAAAAAACAAAAGGAAAAGGGCTGCTGACCGTGCAAGAAAGATAGCACGTTTGAGTTCCGAGGCCACAATAGGAGCTGCAATTGTTGAAGCTGAAGTATGTTTTCTTGCGTCAGTAGAGGTTTTTTTTTTTTTTTGAGAAGGGATCAGATCAGTAGAGGTGTTTTTATGTGCTCTGACTCCAGCCATCTTTTAGTGCTAAGTTGTATATCATGAAATTAATTGTCTAGTTTTGCTTACAGGAGTTGATAGTTTTCTCTTCACTTTGTTAGTGACATACAACAAGAATGGAAAAGCTATTGTTTAGCTTTGCATATCATTTAGTTGTATCTCATGAAATTAAATTGTCTAGGTTTGCTTATAGGAGTTGATAGTTTTCTATTCACTTTGTTATTGACATACAACATGTATTGCTTATTAGTATCGTAAACAAACTATCTTTTACTTTTTTCTATGGCATTCAGGTTTCTGAAAACAAGGAAGAATTGAAAACAAAACTAAGCAAGTTGCTTCGAGACAAGAATGATACTTTCAATTCAGAGAATCCAGAAGAAGACAAGGTGCGAAAATAAACATCTTCTGCCTCTCCTTGGAAGTTGTGGGTGTGATTGTCTTGGAAAATAATGTGGTGTTTAGAATTATTATAGATCAATCTGATTGGTGCATTTGGATGTCAGAGTAAAACTAGTGATTCAACTTGGGGACTAAGTTCAGGTCGCTATTATTGGTAGGGGATTAAATTAATCGAAGTGTTAGGTGGAAAGAAGTTGTCCTGAATTGCATAGTGACAGAGTAGGCTTTTAGGCAATGATAAATTTTGTTAGTGGTTTGAGCTTGGGACTTCCATGTTGGAGGTCTCAAGTTCGAAACCCCTTGCCAGCGAAAGCAAGGGGTTTGCCTTCTGGGTCGAGCTCGTCGCACCAGGCTTGCCTAGTGCGGGTTACCTCTCCTATGTGGTTTGCGAGCTATTGCATAGGAGCGGGGGTTTTACCCTGTGCGCACCCAAAGGGTAGCGGCTGCGGGTTAACCTTGTCTTCAAAAAAAAAATTTTGTTTGACTCAGCTGTTGTGGAGCAAAAAATTTTAATCAACTTTTATTACTATTAACTTAGAATTGATAACTAGTTTTTTTTTTTTTTTGTGAATTTTATCATTTTCATTTTCATTTTAAAAGATAATCTATAATATTTTTTTAATCTGACCTCAACTTGTTTGGGACTGAGGTCTGAGGCATAGTTGTTGAATGCTTACTTTTAATCCAATTTCATCACCGTCAGTGCTTGACTAAACTTGATTAAACCATGAGCAGAAGACGGCTAGTTGGCTGGTTCTAAGCCACAGTGTAAAGTCTGATAAGAACAAAATATCAGATCATGGATCCTCCTTGCCAGTAGGCCCCCCTCTCCTCCCCAAAAACAAAAAGAGGAAAAAGTATCTCTGAAAGTTGTTTCGGAAGTTGATCCGCCGATGGAAAAAGGGTTAAAAAACACTGTATTGGTAGTTTTAGGTGGTGCATGCCAAATCTGCTTGAGTGATCTACCTATTAGTAATTCCTGAAAGCAAAATGAATGAAACTTTTGGCTTATCGATTTTGGATGACATACTACCTTGAAATTCTCTGAGAAGGTGATGAATTCCTAGAGTGCATGGAACTGTATGTGTCTACCTTGACAATGCCTTGGATCGTTTTTGCGGATTGTCACCTTTTTTTTTTGGGTTTTAAATTGTAGTAGCACCACTTCTAAAGAGCCCGAGGGTGGATGTTGCTTTTTCTCTTGATATCTTTGGCAGCTCAGGCTATTTATCTTTTTAACAATCGTCACAGTCAATTTATGCATTCCTTGGTAGTAGCTACTATATACATTTTCTCTCTGCAACACTGTTATCTCATTTGTCTTTGTAGGTCAAACTGGGAGCGCCCGGATGGAAAGAGAGGTATTATGATGAAAAATTTTCTGCAAAAACACCCGAGGAAATGGAAGCAGTACGAAAAGAAGTTGTAAGTTATCTGATCTTCGGTAATTTCTTACTGGTTAATGTTTAATTTTGAGGTGGTTGAAAATTTACAATTTTTCATCTATCCATTAACGATTCTTGGTGGTTCTGCATCAAGAAATAGCTTCCCATGTACACAACTTTTTTTCTTTTTGGCTATTTTACTCTCTTCTATAGCCTTATTTAGTTGGGAATGTTTTCTGATTGTGTTTTAGTAATGTTTTCTGGAAGTTCCTTTCTGGAGAACTTGTATTTTGATGACTGCTTTTTCAAATTTGTGTTTAGCAAATAGTTTTTAGATGTTTGCTATAGCAAGAAACCGAAAAAATAACTTTTTTGCTAATATAACAATCAGACTCCTCCCTATATAATTATGTCTGTCTCCATTAGACCATTACGTAAGTGTTTTAATTAATATGTGTTTGATTTGCACAACATTTTATCCTAGCAATATAAGGATTTTTTTCTAAAAAGAAATTAATTTTAGATTTTACATTTTGAGAAAATGCGTAAGATGAGAGAAGTTGCAGAATTTTTTTGAATGCAATAATAGGGGGAGAGAAATGGTGTAAAAAATAAATAAAGATAAATTAGAAGAAAAAAGGAGGGTCAGTTTTTTTAGATGAAATGTATTCTATTCATGTCATACAAAAGATGCAAGGTAGTTACAGAAGAATGAGCACAAGTGTGTTTGTTCTAGCTTTGAGCATAATTGGCTAGTTGAGAGACCATTAAAACATCTTCTCTTCCTTTCATCCCAAATAGTCCAATAGATGGCCGCTTGTATCATCTTCCAAATTTTCTTGATGATGCTGTCAACTTTACAGTGGCTCCAGCTTTCAAAAACTTCCCTGATAGTGTGGGTCAAAGTGATACATTTATAACTGTGGTTTATTGAGGAAGTAAGATTGACATGTTATAGTCTGATTAAAAAAAAGGATTTATGGAAAATTAGTCCAAGGACAAAAGTTTCAGAAGATACTCCAAATCATTTTTACGTTACCATTCTACAATTACTGAAATTTCCTCCATAGCATAGGAGATCTGAAATGACTACAAATTTCAGCCTTTTAGGCCACAAATGCAAACAGTGATCATTTGATGGATGCTTGGACTTTTTATGCCATTAAGTGAGGCTTAGGATGTTTTATGAATCTTATTGAAACTTTGAACCTTACAACAAATTTGGTCTTCTGTGTGTAGGTGCTAAAGTATACAGAAGGGCTATGCTGGGTTATGCATTATTATTATGAAGGGGTTTGTTCCTGGCAGTGGTAAATTCTCCCTTATGATACAGGAGGTTTTTGTGCTTATATTTCTTTCTCGCCCTCTTTAATGTGTGGATACATTGCCCTTAGCATACACTATGTCTTGCATGTGTACAATGTACGTAGAACCAAGAACCTCACATGGTTGATGCACTTCACTGTCAAGTTTTTTGTCTGCATTTACATGATCACACACATTGATCCCGTATATTTGTGCTTGAAATTTAATCTTTCAATGTATATGCTATTCTTGTGCTGCATTTTTCTATGGAACAATGAGAGGAGACTCGGAACACTTCCAAGTTGAGATGGGATTGCACCTAGAATTAACACTTAGTCCATTCCTATTTGCCTTGGTGATGGATGAATGACGCGGTATATTCAAGATAAAGTGTTATGGTGCATGTTATTTGAGGATAACATAGTACTGATTGTTGAAACATACAATAACATTAATGCGATGTTGGAGGTGTGAAGACAAACTCTTGAGTCTAAAGGGTTCAGGTTGAGCAGGACCAAAACAAAATATTTGTAGTGTAAATTCAGTGATGCAATGCATGAGACAAGCATGGAAGTGAGGCTTGACACGTAGGCTATCCCAAGAGAGATCGTTAGAAATATCTTGGGTCTGAAATCCGGGGAAGTGGGATATCAACGATAATGTCACACATCGTATTGATGTGGCGTGGATAAAGTGGAGGCGTGCCTCCAGAGTGTTGTGTGACAAAAATGTACCACCTAAACTTGAAGGTAAGTTTTACATAGTGGTGGTTAGATTGACTTTGTTGTGTGGAGCGGAGTGTTGGCTTGTCAAGAACTCTCATGTTCAAAAGATGCAAGTTGTAGAAATGAGGATGCTGAGAGGAGTGATAAGGTTAGGAATAAGGTTGGAGTGACCTCCGTTGTGGACAAGATGAGGGAAGCGAGGTTGAGATGATTTGGACATGTAAAGAGATGTGCAGATGCCCTTGTGGGGAAGTGTGAGAGGTTGGATATAGTAGGTACGAGGAGAGGTAGAGGTATGCTGAAAAAGTATTGGGAAGAGGTGATTAGATAGAACATTATGCAACTTCAGCTTACTGTGGACATGACCTTAAAAAGGAGGATGTGGAGGTCGCAGATTAGAGTAGAAGGTTAGTAGGTAGTGAAGTATTGTCTTGCTTTTCGATGGGTTTAGACTTGGTGGTGCCTGTCGTAGTTTAACCTTATTCTCGTAGTGTCTTGCTTTTGATTTCTATCATCATCTGTTGTTTATGGCGTTTCGGTTATTGCACTATCTTTTTTTTGTTATTGTTTCCTTTTTGATGAAGTTTGTTGTTATTGTTTCCTTATTAGTTGCTATGTTTTCTTCATTGTATTTTCCCTTTACATACCTACTTTGATGTGCTATATTCGAGCCGAGGGTCCTCTGGAAACAACCTCTCTACCTACTCAAGGTAGGGGTAAGGTCTGTGTATACTCTACCCTCCTCAGACCCCACTTGTGGGATTTCACTGGGTGTGTTTTTTCTGTGGAACAGTCTTCTTCTTCTGCTTCTAATTTTAGACACTTGTTATCTTGGCACTTTGGCTTTCATTGCATAAGTTGTACCTCTGCAGGTTTTATCCCTATCATTATGCACCATTTGCTTCTGATCTCAAGGATCTTGGGCAGATGAATATCACATTTGAACTAGGTTCTCCTTTCAAGCCATTCAATCAGCTGTTGGGGGTATTCCCTGCTGCCAGGTTTATTTCTCTTCTTTAACAGTCTTAAACAACTTGTCTCTCCTATCGTACATTTTTAAAAAAAAAGAAACTAATTGTCATGTTTTGGAATGTTGACTAATTTTTTTGCAGTGCTCATGCTCTACCTGAGCAGTACAGGAAATTGATGACAGACCCAAAGTCACTCATTGTCGATTTTTATCCTACCGGTATGATCTGTTTTTGCTTTGATAATTGATGTGTCGCCAGTAATTATACTCCATGGTACACGATAATGTATTTCTTTTCTGTTGGTACTATTGTCCTCTTCCTAGTGCTTCTCAATTCAAGTTATATCATGCTTGTGCAGATTTTGAGGTGGATATGAATGGCAAGCGCTTTTCTTGGCAGGTACTTCTTAAGCATTTTTAGTTTTTTTTTTAAAGAACTGAATTTCCTTTTTTTGTTGACTTCTTTCTTTATTGAAGGGTATTGCCAAATTGCCTTTCATTGAAGAAGCAAGGCTCCTAGCAGAAGTTGCAAAAATTGAACATTCTTTGACGGTATGATGGCTTTTGTTTCTGATTCAGTAAGTTGTCTCTCTTAACATGATTTTGATTTGCTAATTTAGTTATTTTCATACAGGAAGAAGAATCACGAAGAAACAGTGTGATGTTTGATATGCTTTTTGTGTCATTATCCAATCTTTTGTCTCCATGCATTTTTTCTCTTGATGCACGCTGTAAGCAGCTTACAGACAGAGAGCGTCTTGAAGTCAAGGAGCGGTTGGACCCAATAGCTAGGTTTGTTTGCACCTATATCAATCTCTGCTAATGAATATCTTATTGTTTTTTATTTCCCTTTTGTTTGTTTTTGTTTTAAAACTTGTTTATTTGGGTGTTAAAGGACATTAGCCAAAATGAGAAAACTGTTGAAGTTGGGGAGCATATCACATGATTAGCTCGCTGTTAATTAGTGTTTTTGTTTGTTTGTCTGGATAAAACGGTCTTTTCAGTTTTTTGTTCAGCTCCACTGACATTGATCTCGGTTCATCCTTGTATCCTGGTTCCCCATAGTTGGGATTCTGAAGTTCAAGTGTTCCTTGCTAGTGTGTTTTTAAAGTCGGTGATACAAGAATGTTGGGTTCTGTTGCTTAGTGTCTGTATGTGGTTGTCGGAGGAAAATACATAAATTGCAATAGTGGTATCTTCAGTCTTCTCAGAGCTCCATTTTGCAAAACTTGTGTTGTTGAGTACTTTTTAAAAATTATTCCTGACTGACTTTGTGCTCCGATTCTTTACTCGTGAGTCATGACTCAGCCTAGGCCCCTTACTAGGGGGTGTTTGGATCGACATTTTTTAAGTGGCTTATAAGCTTAAAGCTAAAAAAGCCATAAGTTGGGACCCAAACACTTCCGAAACTATAAAAGAGCTTAAAAGCCAAAAACCATTTAAAATAAGACAATCCCAAACACCTACTAATTCCTTTTTAGTACTTGTGTGCTATTTCTCTGAGTGGGTCATGTTTCTTCATCATGTATGAAATCAGTTGGTTGGTCTAAATCTTCTTGCCCATCACATTGTTCTGTATCTTCTTCATTGTCTGTGATTAAAACCTGCCGTAACCGCAATATTTGAAGTCCTAGCTGGATTCTTCTGATTCTCTCTAGGTTTACATGCAGTGGTGGGATGAATGGCTACCTATCCCTTTGCAGCGGAGATCCTTGTCCTTCGATTTTTAAATCACCTATTGAAGGGATGGAAAATATTACACAAAATCAAGTCCTGTAAGAACCAAACATTCAACATCTTTATCGATTGCCATCACTGACCTGTGTAGTTTGTATGTTTTGCTGATCAGCCTTTCCTGTTCTTGCATTTCAGATGTGCAATATACAGACTTCCAGATACTCATAAACATATCCCTCGGCCAATGGAAGGGGTCATTTTCCCCAAAAAGGTGATCATATACCATGAATCTATTTGGTTCTGGTGTCTTAATTTTTTATGAAAGCAACAGATCCACCTTTCCACTTCCAGGGGGTTTTTTGTGTGTGTGTGGGGGGGGGGGGGATGCCTCATTTTTTAGTAGAATGCTATTCTTAACTTCCTCTGTGAGTTTGTGAAAATAAGATTTCCCTCGAAGCCGTGATTTCTGCACATTGATGAGGGTTGTCAAATTATAACCTATTTGATTGTAGCCTTTTCATGATCTGCATAGAATGAAAAACTAGTTGTGGTTATGTGCCCATGCTTGGCCAGCTTGGACAAGAGACAACTTATCATATTCATGTTTTATTCACGTGTCATTACACTTTAAAAGTTTGCGCCTTTTTAAACTTTTCAGTATCTTCATTTTGCACACATTTATCTCTCTCTAACCAATGCTATACTGGTTCAATGCAGATGGTCACATTAGGTGATATGAAACCTGATCCTGTACTATGGCATGAGCAATCTAGCAAGAAACCTTGGGAAAATGGACGGTATACACCATGCTGATTAATACGACGTAGTTAATGTCAATCTTAGTTATTTAGGTTATACATAATTTGTATGCACCGTTGCAGGAACCGCCACCGTGGTGCAATGTCTGGTAGGAACCACCACCGTGATGCAATGTCTGGTAGGAACCACCACCGTGGTGCAATGTCTGGTCTTCAGCTTGGAGAAGCTGCACACAGATTGGTGGTTAATAGCTTGCAGAAGAAAGAAGATAGGGGTGGAAATGGTGATCACAGGCGTACACATAATGGCCAAGGACATGGTAATTATATGCACGCCCAACCAGCGTCCTATCGTGCTGCATATGGTCCTCCCATTCCTTCCTTTGAAACCCCGAGAAACAATGTTCATGAAAACATACGGCCTAGTTTCGGTCATTCTGCTCGAGATGCTGGACATCACCCCAGATCTTCAGGTTCTGATGACCATAGTAGTAAGTCTCGCCCATTTCATGAGACCGGCAGTAGAGATTATCGTGGTCATGGACATCACACAGATGGAATGCAGAAAAATGGTGCACAGAGTCATTCCTCGTATGCCAGTCATCCTCAGCACTTGGGCCAAATACCAGTTCCACCAACTACCAGTTTCCACCAGCAGAGTGGATATGACGCTTCTATGAGCTATGAACCTCGCGGAGCTGAAAGCTATAACCAACGGGGTGGTGGAAGGGCCTCTCAGAAACAAAATGGTAGAGGATATCATCATCCACATCCTTCAGGAAATCAGTTCTCAGCTTTTGGGAGGGGAGGAAAGAGAAGGCCACCTTCAGGGCATCGTCGGTAGAGAGTCCTTTTAGCCTGGACTATTTAATGCCAAGCTTAGTTGCTAGTACGCTGAATCCTGCGAACAATTTTCATACTTTTGGTAAGCAAGGAAGAAGATCAAAATAGCTGTTTCTGTCGATGCTAATTATCTGCAGGCTGCTTTCTGGTGCTTATCATAACGGTTATTGTAGTGCTTTAGCTATGTATCTTTTCCATGTTCTTTATTCTTAACACACAATGTCAGTGAGTTTCATTTGTTTGAGCAAGCACAATAAATTATTTGAAAGGTCAAACTTGGATGTATGAAGTTAAATTTTTGCATCTAGTAGACTGGTTTATCTGTATTCTGAGTGCTTTATTTGCTAAACATTTTGGTGTATTGCATTAATTGAAGAAAGGAGATCATCTTTAATATGCACATCTTGAGTCGAGGGTTTCTCGGAAACAATCTTTCTACCTCCCTAAGGTAGGGGTAATATCTGTGTACATTCTACCCTCTTCGAACTCCATTTATATGTTATTGTTTGTATTGGAAAAACTATTTGTGAGAGGCCAAAAGAGAGAGTAAAGTCTCTATGAAGATGATGTGATATCTTTCTCATTCTTCAATATACAACACGAGTCAAGTCGGACATAAGGATTCTTTTTAGGTACATTCCATGTATCTTTAGTTTAAGATCACAATATTCAAAAGTCTTCTTTATTGTATTAAACTTTATGCTAAGTCAAAATCAGCCAAACAAATTCAAATTGAGAGAGTATTAGTATACATTATAATTAAGCTTAAAACAACTTGAAAGCCTATCCAAAAAAGTTCTATAATACAAATATAAACTGGACACAGATGGAACATCAAAGTCGATATGTCCGAGTGGTTAAGGAGACAGACTTGAAATCTGTTGGGCTTCGCCCGCGCAGGTTCGAACCCTGCTGTCGACGTTTTTTTTTCTTTTCCATATATAATAGCCAATGAGTTCCCATCTTTTTCTTTAAACAAAAACAATGAGTCTGGCCGACTAGATAGGAGGGTATGGAGGGCAAGAATCAAGGTAGAAGGTTAGTGAGTACTCGAGTATTGTCTAGTTTTCCCTAATATTATCGTATTTTTGATTTTATTACCCGTTGTTTCCTTTACTTTAGTTACATCATGTTTGTTGTTGCTCCTGTACTTCTCTTTTATTTTTAGCATGATTTTTTATTAATGTATTTTTTTTTTCATACTTGAGTTTTTATATAGAGTATATGTTTTACATGACGAAATAAACAATCTCTTTATACCTTCATAAGGAAACAACCTATCTACCTACGATGCCTACGGTATTACATTGAATTTGTTATTGTTATATATAGTGCATAGTTTAATTCTAATTCTCTCTAGGAATTTAATAATTTATATATAATAAAAAATTGTTTTTTTTTTTTTGTAATATAATTTTTTGACAATTGAATTGAACCTATATATATCCATGGTTGTGACTTGTGAGGAGTACTAGTAGGTAGGTATATAAATAGATTATCGTTGTATTTGTCATTTCTCCATTATGATAAGGAATGTAGTAATAATATTAACATGCATGCATGTTCATAAAATATTTAAGTATAAATTTTAGGAATCACATAGTTTTAATATGAAATTACAATTTATCCCTATTTAGTTTGTAGTTACATTAATCCCTGAAAAAGTAAAATAAACCGGATACATAATATGTAGCTTGGATACATTATAAAATAAACCGGATACATAATATGTAGCTCGGATACATTAAAAACTAGCTCGGATACATTAAAAACTAACTCGGATACATTATAAAATAAACCGGATACATAATATGTAGCTCGGATACATTAAAAACTAGCTCGGATACATTAAAAACTAACTCGGATACATTATAAAATAATTTAGAGTTAGGAGAGAAATAAGGGATTTTAGAGGTTTTTAGAAATAGAAGGGAATATTAGAAATAAGGGAAACATAAGACGTGTATTTCAGTAATTTTTTTAATAATTAAAGGAATGGATCGTTTCCTTTTGAGACAAAATATCCATATGTGGTATTCAAAGTTTGAGGATTAAAACGCTTTATAAAAAAGATAACTTTATATTTATAATTTGAATTCGAAACTTTTAATCAATTTTCTTTACCATTCTACCATAAAATTAGTAGTATCCAATGCTTTTGCTAAAACCAAAGCTCATGAGGCTCCTCCTTCTTTTATGGACCTTTGCCTTTTTCACCATCTTTTCCAAAGTATATGGCCACATGCATGCAAAAGGCACTTCAATTTTAAGTTGTTATTTCTTGGCCAATTGATAAATAAATAACATTTTATTTAGATATTTGAATTATGACTTGTTTCAATTAAGAATTTGAACGTAACTTCAAAATCCAATGAAGTATAGGGATGTGATTCCGCCTTTGATCATAGGAGAACTGCGAAAAAATAGTACGATAGTTTTTTTCATAGCATAAATTTAAATTAATCATAATAATAAATTTCAAAAAGATAAACAGTTATAAAATAAAAGTGTCTGAAATAGACATTAATGAAAAGGATTTGAGAAAAGCAAAAAAAAACTACAAGTACATTAGGGACATTAGGCATATGCACATAACTTTTTGGAGCTTTTGTCATAGTACAAGTAATTATTAGGGGAGCAATCTAAAGATAGAATCTTCTCTTTTCTTTTTACTTCTTGTTTTTACTTTTAGGAGGGTTAAATAAATACTACTCCCTTTGATGTTTTAACATCTCTATTTCATATTATTTGACCTTTGTTGATTTGACACATTTCTTAAAAATGTTTAATTAAATGTGAATTTTACAAAATTAACTTTATTAATAATACTTTGAACTTTAAATTTGACTACTACTACTTCATGTTTGGAATTTTATGCCAAATGAAGCCCCAACCAATTTATGTTAAAGGTGATTAGCCTAGTAAGCAAAGTTGGAAAATTTTATAATACATGTTTGGTAGAGAGTGATGCTAACATTTCTCCAAATAAGTTGTTCATAGTGGATAAGGTACCAAATGAAGTCTTTCTTGTCTCTCACTTTAAGAAGCTACAAACACAATGCCATCCTAGAGGTGTGTTTGGTATAAAGAAAAATATTTCTTAATAAATAATTAATTTTTTAAAATTTGATAAAGTAAATAAAAAATACTATCTCAAAAATATTCATCGACAAACACTATGAGGATATATGTAGCTAGAGGGGGATGGAGTTGATGGTTGCAAGGGATGGGGGCGTTGAGATCTTTTTTATAACCTCTCTCCCCAGGAGCTCTCACATTTTTGCTCCCTTGGTGACTTGTTAACAACTTTAAGGTTGGAAGTGAGAGATGCTTACCATCCAAGCAACTCTCTCCTGTCGAAAGATAAACTACCTGAAATATCATTTATAGAACTTATTTTTTCTATTTTTCATTAGATAAGTCATTTTTCTGATTTTAAAAAATAATATTTATCTAGAAAAAATATTTTTTTGAAAGATTTAACCACCAAACACCCCCTAATTATTTTACGGTTATGATGTTTTTACCCACGGTATTACCATGGACCCTCACACAACTAATCTTCGCTCTCAAATAAAAATTCAAACCCCACTGAAGCTAATTAAAAATGATATCAAAGAATTAAATTAGAAAAAAAAAAAACGCAATCCAATTTGGCCCCCTCTTTCTCTTCGCCGTCGATATCGCCACCGTTCGCCGGCGCCGGTAAATTTCTCAAACATCTCACAGTCTCTCCGTTAAGCTACATGCTCTGCTTCAGCGTTTATTAAATATCAATTTTGTAGTACAGATTTTTGTTCGAAGTGAATTGATTTTCGTTTTTAACTTTTAGCTCAATTTCTTAGTTCGCCAGAATTCGTGAATTTCTAATCTGTGCAGAAAATTTAAGTATATGAAATGAGTGATGCAATGCAATGCAAGGCGATTTGCGGTGTCTGAATAAGTAAATGCTTGTTTGAGTTTGCTTGACTGTGATTCAAGACTAAGTTGTTGCATACTGTGTTTTTGTAGTGTTTTTTAAGCTCAATCAAAAGGGAAATTATTGGATATTTTCTTTCATGTGTAGTTTTCTTCTTTATTTTTAGGGCTCAGTGTTTTTTCTTATCCTTTGGGGAATGATAAGCTAGTGAGGCAATTTGTTTAATCCTTGAATGTATTAAAATGCTTGTTAATGATGAAGTAGAAACAAAAGCAATTATGTTGAATATTAGGATTGGAACGGATTGGACCGAAAATTAGACCGGAATAGACATAGAGGATACATCTAGGCTATATCCAACCCAAAAGGTTTTTGATTGAGGTGTTGTTATGGTTGATGTTTGTTGTTACTTCATTGCTTCTAGCATAGAAAGACCTAAAAGTAATGGCACTCTTGGCACTTCCCATATTTCCTTTTCTTTGCAATGTTTAGTCTAAATTGATTTTTCTTTGTAAAATTCATTCCCGTGTGTGTGGACCTCTATACGCTATCAATATGAGAGTTTGCTTAACAAGCACTGCCTTTTTTCCTGTTGCAGGGATTCAAGATGATTGGATCTTTTCTCACCAGAGGGCTTGTGTGAGTTTGGAAAATGTTGCATTCATAAATGCTTAAGCACTAGTAGTCCTAGTTTTTCTATTGCTCAACACCCTAGTTGTGATTTTTCCTTTTCCTCGTGCAGGATGGTTTTTGGTTATGCTTATCCTGCTTATGAGTGCTTTAAGACTGTAGAAATGAACAAACCTGATATTCAGGAACTTCGGTTTTGGTGCCAGTATTGGTATATTGCAGCATTTGCTCTGTCGATCTCTTAAGTATCTTCTCGTGAATCTTGGCTGTAACTTCCTGATTCCTTCTAATTTTCAGGATCTTAGTTGCTCTATTGACAGTTTGTGAAAGGGTTGGCGATGCTTTTGTTTCATGGTAATCATATGAAAATTTTGAATGTTCGTATAAACTAGTGTGAAATCCATCTAGTGTTAACACTTTAGTTATGCTTTGAAGGGTTCCAATGTACAGTGAAGCTAAGTTGGCATTCATCATATATTTGTGGTGCCCCAAAACTAAGGTATTCCGCGTATTATCATCTCCTGCATGAAAGAATTTTAATCTTTGATTAGTTCCGGTGGCATCTTTTGCTAATTGTTTCATTTTCTCATAAAATTATTGCAGGGAACAACATATGTATATGATTCCTTCTTTAGACCGGTAGTGTTAAAGCATGAAACTGAGATTGATCGTAATTTGTTGGAGTTGAGGACAAGAGCTGGAGATATGGCATATCTGTACTGGCAAAACTCTGCTAGCTATGTGCAGACTAGGTTTTTTGATATATTGCAGTTTATTGCTTCTCAGTCAACTCCTCGCCCAACTCAGGTTTTCATCAGTGTTTCAGAATTAATCTTGCT